GTAGGTTAATTGGATCCTGTCTAAATTGGCCCTAGTATGTGTATGTATGAATGTAAGTTAGGGACCTTAGATTGTACGCCCCTTGAGGGTTAGGGACTGATGTGAATGTTCAATATATATGTGTAAAGCGCTGCGTAAATTGACAGCGCTATATAAGTACCTTAAATAAATAAATGGCCAGCTTTACTGGTGATACACCAAGAAGAGAGAATAGAGGTTCCATAGTAGAAATTTGGGGAAGCAATCTCACCCATCCCACGTACAGAGCATATGGAATCACTCTTTAGAATAATACATAAAACTCAGATTAAAGCAACTCTGAAGTGTTAAATGCATTCCTAATCAAGTGCTGTCTTTCTTCAGTGTACCTTACTGATAATCCCACATGTGCACTCTTGATGTGGGCCAGGATCCTGGAGCCCAATTATCATAGGATCAGCCCAGAATGTAGGCATGGTGCAAAGGCAGCAGTAAGACCGATGACATATGCCAGGCAAAGCATTGCATTTTTCTTGAGAATAACCTTTCATATCAACGGATAATACACAACAATAGAAAAATATTAATTAGGGTTTAAAGTTCTGCTTGAAAGATGAGTGGCCTGCAGACTTATTAAGGTTTTGGCTGGTCTCATCTGCCCTATTAGCAGTCTGCTCTAATAACACATTCTTTCTGTTTACTTGGATGAAAATCTATGCTTGTATCATAATTAATTGGCTCTTTTACAGGTCCAGGACATGTTCAGATGAGTGCTTCCAAAGGATGCTTTCACACATAACAGAATGTTAAGTGACAGCAGACAACCCTTTAGAGCACATTCTTTGATCATTGACCCTTGCCCTATTGTACTGCTGTCTGAACACTCAATCAAAATATTACACAGGCACAATCATTTTTTTCTAACTCGCAGGTGGATAATAGCACCATAAGGAGTGGATTAATACTACAGATGCCTGTAGGCACACAACCTCTGCACATTGGCTTAAAATAAACGAGTTTAGCGTTTTGCCTGCAGAAGCACCTAATGCTATCCTATGTGTTCATGCACATTAGACAGTCTAGAGGCGTTTTATCAGCTCAGCGTTTAGAGGCATAAAAAAAACTTTCTGTTTTGCATTTTTAAGGGTGTTCTTCTGGCAGAAAAAAATGCTAAACATTCCTAAACACTGCTAAACCCTGCTAAGCGCTCCCAAACATTAGTACAAAAAATGGTTGAAATTTGTGTTTTTTTCTGCCAAGAGCACTGCTGTTTTTTTTAAACAAGTGTGCATGGACCATGAAAGAGGAAGTCCAATTTATAAATGAATCAGAGTGACTCGCGAGCCACAGGTATGATAATTACTAGAGGTTCGCAAACATGAAACACATAACTACAACTGTGTTAGAAATATCTACAAATATATGTTTCGCTCCTAAATACTTCTCAATAAATAATTAAATTATTACCATTAAATTAATTCAAATTATGATACAAATAACTAATAAAAGTTTATAAATACCAAAAAATATTTAAATAGATAATTTAAACTAATCAATCTCCTCTAAATAAATATCAAAATAATTCCACATAAAATACTCCTCTGAAAAAATATTTTGCCAAGTGCTCATAAATCATTAGTGGCATGATGTACTTACTAATACCCTCAATTTCATTTATATTCATAATACCCTCATTTAACAAAAATAATAAACCAACTAATAACACTCAACTAAAACGCATTTAAATGATCCCCATAAACAAAAATAACCAAATGCTCATAAATAACTAGTAGTGATTAGTATGAATCCAAACATCATCAAAATAATAGTCCCATTGAATAAACAATTGTTTGTATATAGTGACTTGGTGCTTGTTGTTCCTCAATTTGTGACTTTTGTGAATCCTTCAAATAGTGAAGATGTGCGCTCACCTCCTTTGATGCCTGCAATTAGGCTATACACGCTTTCGGTTCACTTTCCCTGGAACCTGCTGGACATATACTTTTGCTGGTAAAATTGGGAGATCCTTCCTTTAGGAGTAATGGATGTATCCTCTGGTGGCTGATTATCTCCCAACTAAGTCTAAATAGACTCCCACTCATATTCTAAGACTATTCTTTCTACCCTGTAAAAGAAAAGATGCTTATACATACCTATTCTGAAGCCGTTCCAGTCTGGTCACTTGACTGGCTTTCAGCACTGGCTTCAGTGTAGAGTAGAGATCTCTGACCATAGCTGCAGAGTCTAGGGATGGCATCACCCATTGACCTACTATGGGACATCCATTGTCAGCTGTTGTTGTCCTCTACACTGAAGCTGGTCATGTGACCCGAACTGGAGCTGCCTCAGCATAGGTAAGTATAGGCATCTTTCCTTTTACAGGGTAGATAGAATATTCTTGAAATAAAATTTTTATTAAGTATGTATTTTGAGCTGTTACTGCAATATTTCATGTAATAAAATCCCCCCACCGGATCCCTCTGTCTTCTGATTACAGCTGGCTGTGTGGATTAAAGAAAATCTCACACCAGAAATGAAAAAGGTTTGTTGACTTCAACTGGGGACACAATTCACGGAGAATGTGTCCCCATTAAAATGTAATTTTTATTTCTGGCAGTGCTGTCTGCTGCTCCACACATGACAAAAGCCCAAATTATGGATATTCGTATGGTAAATGAGACATCTGAAGGCACACTACCCTCACTGCTCTTCAGCTCTCCTTGCTATTTGTTCCTTCTCTGCTCCCTTTGTACTGTGAAAAGACTGAGCCCAAAATTTGCTACAACTGGTAGCTAGTCCAGGAATTACTATTAGGGATGAACTTTGGCTTGGTTCTGTCACCAAATATGTCCATATGAAATCAATATCAGGTCAGGTCAATGATGTCTTGAGCATCCCGGTTCCTTTGTGTTCATGTAGCTGCAGGGTGGGGGATGTCCCGGGCACAGCATTTTGGCCCAAAAAGGACAGCTGCCTTCCAGGTTTGGCCAAACCCAAGTTTATACCAAACCAAAGTTTATCACTAAATATTACAATAATGGAAAGTGATCAACTGTGGGTCTGTGGGCAGAAAAGTATGCTGCCCATGTGGAAGGGGCCTAACTTTGACCTCATTATTAGACTATTTCAACAAAAATCTTCCTAAAAGACTATATTACAATTAATATATTGTAAGCACTATTTACCTCTAAGTGCCTCCCTTGTTCAAAATTTCCAGGAGTGCTGCTAGGAACCACCATCTTGGATGTAATGTCAGCAGACTCAGATCTGTCACTCAAATGACATACTAGTATGCCCCTCCACTTCCCTTGCAGCTACACAAAACATTTTAATGGAGGTATGGGGGAGGGCTGGAGGAGTTGGGCAAGCTCAGAGAATAATTAGACACTCCAATAAGAGGATTTTTGATGTCCAAGGAAGGAGGGGCTATGCTTGGTAGTTGATTCCCCTGAAGTAGTTGAATTTTCTACCAAGTTTAAAGGCGGATTGCAAGTGAATAAAAACCTACAGAATGGAAAAACTCTGCAAGTAAGCATTTAAAATACTTGACCTTTGTGTGCTTTTACTTTACTTACTTTTTTAAGTTGGTGACAGCGTCTCTCTAAAGTATACTTCATAAATAAGATGGTTAGGTACCACTGCTATTTAATTGGTGCCTGCTCACCTGGTTAGTTTTCTTGTTAGATGTCTTAGTCATTTTGTTTTATTTTCCTTCTGCCATCATTCCATTTTTCCACCGACTGGTATAAAAATATGGATAATCCCTTCCATTCCTTGGTCTTTCCCCCACTTATCCACTCTATCCCCTGACCCCCTTTCAAGTCCCATACCCCCCATACCGACCCTCTCTATTATGTTTATAATAAAAGCTCAGGAGAAGTTCCGGGAACAACTACTGCTCTTTGAAGGTGATTGACATCATGTTGAATGCCATGGGATAGCTGTTCTGATGAATACTTATTCAGCTATAAATTGCCCAAATATAAATTTAATTGCTACGGAACACTTTTCACCTTCCATTATAACTATTGTACACTTTATGCCTTTTGTTCGATGTTTTGAACTTTTCCTTGAACTAAATAAAACATGTTTAAAAACATTTCTTAATGTATGTAAATTATGCGCTGATCCCCTTACTGAGAACCTAGTCCCATCTCTTGCACCTCACTATTGGTTTACTGCTGTGACAGGTGGCCTCACTGGCAAATAAAGAGCCACAGAAGAGAGTATGGCCAGGTTATTGACTTGGAAAGTTGGTCAAGACTTACATACCAGATTACCGCAGCAACATGCCAGTGGCTCTTAATCATCTCTCACATTTAAGTAGGGGTGGAGCAGAGTTATAAATAGTTCTTTCTCAGTGACCACAATGTGCTGCAGGCTAACTTTTTGGGCAGGGTTAGGGACCCAAGGCCTGCTGAGATGGACTATTGAAGTAAGCCCCAATTGTAAATCATCATATTTGGCAAATAACAAATCTATGCCGGAAGGGGGTGCATGTCCCTACACACCATCTGGCCAATTGATAAATCTAAAATATAACCTTTATTCAGATATATATAAAATGTATGCTAAGCTTTAATCAATGCCTATTGGAGTGGATATATCTTAATAAAGGTTATATTTTAGATTCATCAATTGGCCAGCATAAATTAGAAATGAGATGGACCCAAATATGAAAATGGCTGCACTATAGGCAGCATTTGAAAATTTTTCCTGCGAAAGGTTAAAGATTGATCAAAGTATTTTTCATTTTAATGTGCATAGGAAATTCAGACATAAAAAGCCTAAATACAGCTAAAAAATGTGCATATAGTATGTAGATAAACAAAAGCTTATTATGGCTAATGCATGGGCAGCTTGTGGTTTAAAGGATAAATCCTTGGGCAAAATGGCATAGTATTACAGTAGTGCAAAAGATAAATACATACCTTGTTGGCATATGTCATTGCTAACAGGTGCAGGTGACCACTCTGGACCTGCATAAAACCTAGTTATACATTGTACATTGATTGTGGTACTTACACAGTTTCATCATTCTGGAACTCCAATTCTCCATAAGCATCTTCAAAGTCAATACCTCCTCCCCGAGCTGTGCCCTCTACTGTCCGATATGGTATGATCACAGTCCCTCTTGCCCCAGAGTTCCTCACCACTCGTACCTCCAGCACCCCAACACTTTCACTGACACGAACCAATTTCTCCTCAAAAGTAAATATTCCAGCATGATCATCATCCAGAATAGTCACCGTAGCAATGAGTGGTGAGACCAAACGTGCCTTGGGGCGTCCTTCCCCATCTGGTTCAAACATTCCTTCTGCATCTCCCACCCTCAAGTTCATTAGACGTACAAAGAAATGTTCATCTTCCTCAAAGATGTCATCATCAATTATACCAATTTTAATCTCTTTTTGGGTCTCGCCAGGTTTAAAAATCAGTGTTCCTTCACTATATTCATAGTCTGAACCAGCATTGGCTGAACCATCCTCTGTCTTGTAGTCCACATAGAAAGTACTTGTGCCATCTCCTCCTTGGCAGGCAACATTAAGTGTAACAAAGCCACAGTTCTCTAGACACTGGTAATTGCAGGGCTGGAAGAAGATCTTGCTTGTGTTTTCTTCCCCAGATTCAGAAGTCACCTCCTGTAGGTTAGCTGGCTTCTTGCTATGATCAGCTGCATGTTTCTTCAGCACGTTGCCTGCCCCAATCATCATACGTGTGGCTTGAATACGGTAGAATGCTCTGCTCTTTTGTTGGTGCAACAAGGCATAGTAATTGGCCATTTCAACCAGCTGATCCAATTCGCGCTCAGGGTACTTCTGCTTTAGTTCTTTTAGAATGCGGATCACCTCTTTACGGCTTTCATCAAGTTCCTTGGCTTCAGCAGCAGCAGCAGCTGCACTGTCTTGGTCTATTGGGTCCTTAATTTCTGGTGCCACCACTGCCCCAGACCCCAGTTTTCCATCCATCTCAATGCTTTTGGGAAATTCACCCTCTGTTTCAATAATGATACCTCTTCTCTTATCTGCTCTGTATCTCTTGTAAACATATTTGTAGAAGAGAAGTCGTTTGTCTGCAATCCAGGCAAAGACTACACAGGCTGGAAAAAATAATAGAGTGACCAGTCCCTCCCAGACCTGAACACAATTTGGGGAAATAACAGCAAGAATGAGATACAGCCATATGTAGGCAAAGATGCTCCAGGTGGCAGTGACAAAAAAAACTCTTGGGTGCTTGATTTTTCTTGTTTCACCATTGGGTATGACATAGACACAAATGGCGATAATGACAAACATATTAAAGGCAGCAGAACCCACAATTGTTCCTGGTCCTAGATCTCCAGCCTGGAAATTGTGTCCACATACTTCAATGACAGAAAGAAGGATTTCTGGAGCAGAGGAACCTAGAGCCATCAGGGTTAGATTAGAAACTGTTTCATTCCATATTCGGACAGTGGCCACACTGGTTTCCCCATTTGGCTTGGTAAGAGTAATCTCCTTCTCTTGAGAGGTAATAACTTCAATGGATGCCATGAATCGGTCAGCAATGATGGAAACTCCCAGGAAGAGGTAAAGCATGGCTACAAAATAAACAACAGCACGAGCAGCTTTGTCTCCTGTTGATGGATTGTGAGGGCTCCAGACTGGAAGCAAGATACCTGGCTCACACTTTTCTTTCCCAGTTTGTTTACAGGTTCCATTTTCTGATTCTTCTGATGAGGCGAAAGCCAAGACATAGACCATTAGAACAAACCCAACTTTCAGGAGATATGCCATGGTTGATCTTTCTCATGTGATAGTCCTCAAGAAGATGGTGGCTTTATGCAAGCTTTGGAAAAAAATCCCTGTTTGAAAAAAAAATAAAATAATTAAAAACAGTCTGCAAACCAAGATGAAACATGTATTATAATGTTTTCAATCATACACTTATACTGACTGAGTGATTCTGAGGAAATAGTTATAAATCTGTTCCTTGTCCTAGAATCACCTACATTATATATTCTACCAACTAACCTATATCAAGCCCTGTAAAATGGACTTCAATTAAAAATATGGTAGTAAAAGACAGTATCAAGTAAAGAAGAAAGGACAATAATTTTCCAAAGAATTGCAAAATAATGACGGGAGATTGAGATCAAATTGTCCATTTATGCTATATTCTTTATTCTTTTCCAATGCTTTTTGGTATGGTATTTTACCATTTCTACATTTGTGGATAAAGTGAATTGGTAGCCAGGCTAAGGACATTGCCAGGCTGTGGAGCAATTCATAGTCAAGGTATTTAAGTCACTCATTTTTTTCTCTCTCACCTGCTCAACTTACCTTGCTCCCTCTCCCAGGGCTCATGGTTTGTGTCTACATTATAATTTAGAAGGCTGGAAGACTGCCGAGTCTCTTTGCTGGGAGAGGGGAGGGGAGCAGGGTGAGCTCTTGAGAGAACAAATTGAATGACTTCAGTGCTTAGAAAGTTGAGGATGAATTTCTCCACAGTGGCTGTAGCTGCAGAGGTAAGTGAAGGCTTGCTGTAAAGTTTATTTACTACTAAGAAAAATGTAAAACAAAAATGTCCATGGCCTTGCCAAATAGGGAAGGCCCAACTCTCCAGCCATTTTATGAGCAAAAAGCACCTATTTCGATAGCCTGTGACCCATTCACAGATTTACTTTAAAGGGTCATGCTGACTATGTTTTATGGTCAACATGGGCCATGGTCTGGGGTGACAGGGGTTCTCGGGCTATACATAACCACCCACACATCTTGTCACTGATTGTTAGTAAAACATTGTAGTGTTTCATACAAGATTCAATACTGACACCTTGCTTGCCAGTGCAATAAAACTGTGTCCTAATAGTGGCTTTCCCTGCACAATTAATATTTTCATTTTCCCCTCCCTGGGTGTATAAAATTTTAAATTGAACTACTAGTAGAGTAGGGTGACTCTAGTCTAGTTTTAGGGGTTGGTCATAATGAAGTAAAAATGCCACGGTTATATACAGTTTATAATGCGCAAGGATTTCTGTTTGGTTGCTGTGGATTACTATACTTTGCAGACCATCACTGCTATTTTCACTTCCTTGCTGAATAAGGCCATCTATTCCTAGTGATGTCTGAGTAAAAGCTTCAGGAGGGAAATCAATACTTTTTGCTTTCTACTACCTATATTCTTATAGACTGAAATCTATAATAAACAAACAGTCAGGCATTCTATTCTTAACAGAATGACAACTCAGACCAATTTCATGATATTCTCACTTCCTCTGGTATTTTATACAGAACAATGTTCAAATGGAAGACGATCCTGCATTTAATAAGGCACTGAAAAGATCAATGATGAAATGCAAAGCTCAGTAATCTCAAGCAAGCAATTAGCAGACCTCCCAACCTTCTGATGTGGGAAAGAGGGACAATTTTAGCACAAATTATTTAGGAATGGGACATATCCTTGCCACACTGCTAGTCAGGCTGACTGTGAAAAAATTAATTACTTTGTAATAATATTCAGTTTAACCCTTTGATGATATATTACCATTTTCATATCCTGTTCAAATCCTAGCATTTGACAATTAACAGTGCAATAAAGACAGATATAAAGTTTAGCCCATTAACACGTTTGATAATGTATTAGTTCATTCACTTATACAGGTCTCTACAAGAGAACATAAAGAGGGGCTTAGGAGAAAGGAGGGACAGGTTTTTTTTCCCAAAAGAGGAATAGTTGGGAGTTACAAATCAGGCTGATCTAAGTACAGTTACCTAAACTCTGACTGAATGCAATTGATTATGACATTTCAGTAACCATCATTACTCCATGCATTACCTTTATGAAGCAACACTAAATAATTAACAGGATATATATGTCCCAAAACTATATAGTAAATATTTCAAATCTGATAGTGATATATAGGTGACTATGTTTCGCTAACAAACATCTCATGAACTGCATCTGCTTATGCTAATGGAAACACTCCATCAAATATATCAAGTCATGCCAAATACAGGGTTCTTGCTATCAACCCATTTGCTCTTGAAAGGATAGCTTTTCTTTTGTGAAGTAATCCTTTAATGTAACTCTACATTATAAACATCCTCCTCATAGGAATGAATAAAGGAAGTAAGGGAGCAGGTTGGATAGCTACAGTAGCTGTGTGGCTCCTCATGGGTGGGACAATATAGTGGAAAAAATGCCAAACCTTCTACTATATACCTGTCTACACTCCTGTGCCAGTTCTACATTGTACCACATCACAAAAACAGCTAAAATCGGGATCCCCGGGCACAGAAAAAATGTATATAAATTGTCTATAGATGATGCCGACTCACCCAAAAGTTTATGGTGGTGCTCTCAGGACCAAACGCATATAGTGGGAAAAATGCCAGTGGGTAGAGCTCCCCTGGAAAAGAAGTCCTCAGGAGAACAGTCTGCGGCTAAAACATCATGTTTATTGACACTGTAATAACAAACGACACACAGTTAGAGCACCCTCCACCTACAAGTATCAGGAGGAGGGTGCTCTAACTGTGTGTCATTTGTTATTACAATGTCAATAAACATGATGTTTTAGCCACATGACTGTTCTCCTGAGGACTTTTTTTCCAGGGGAGCTCTACCCACTGGCATTTTTCCCACTATATGCGTTTGGTCCTGAGAGCGCCACCTTCAACTTCTGGGTGAGTCGGCATCATCTATAGACAATTTATATACATTTTTTCTGTGCCCTGGGATCCTGATTTTAGCTGTTTTTGTGATGTGGTACAATGTAGAACTGACAGGAGTGTAGACAGGTATATAGTAGAAGGTCTGGAAAGGGGGTGATGGGGGAGGGAGGCACTTAAAGGATAACTGTATGTAAGTACAAGTGTTTTGGATCATTGTTTTTAAAGTGGTTGTAAGGGCAGAAGGAGTTTTTACCTTACTGTATTCCATGCAGTAAGGTAAAAAACCTTCTGCATGCAGCTCTCCCCACAGCCCCCCTAAATACTTACCTGAGCCTGATCTCGATCCAGCGATGTGCTTAAGAGCCAAGGCTCTCTCGCTACTCATTGACTCAGATACAGCAGAGGGAGCCATTGGCTCCTGCTGTTGTCAATCAGAACAAGAGAGGAACAAGCGGGTGGCTATGGACACATAGAGTAGGGCTTTGGAGTGAGCAAGCACGAGTGCCCTCAGATCAAGCAGTTTGCTGTGGAGGCACTCAGCAGAGGGGAGGAGACAGAAGTGCTGGTGAGTGACTCAAGAAGAGGAGGATCGGGACTGCTCTGTGCAAAACCATTGCACGAAGAAGGTAAGTATAACATGTTTGTTATTTTCAATAAAAAAAAAAACCTTTGCAATCACTTATTTTGTGGTATGACTGCCCCCTTCCCCCGGCCACCCTATCTCTACAATTAAGCCCAATCTGGGTGAAAGACTTCAGTTGGCTGTGGCTATGAGTAAGGACTGTCAGAATACAGACTTGGAATAAAGCTTCTTAAAGGTTCTTAAAAGTGGAGTCTGGAGTGGCACTCAACGAATGTATAAAAGTAAAGTTATGTTTCAAAGGAAGCCTGACATGAGAGAATCATGGAGACTACCATTACTAAACATGCTAGTTGTGAAGCTGTCCTGTTGACCCTTTGGTTTTACTACTTTGAGTCTGACCTAGAACAAGTACTGTATGTAGATCAGGAGCTCTGAATTCATTCCGTCTGTACTTTCCTTGCATATATGCCGTGTTTAAGTTTCTCAGATCATAATAAAGCCAAAGTATCAACATGACAGCTACGCAACTAGCATTTCCAGCAATAGCAACCTATATGGTAGGTTTACTTTAACACTTACCTGAAACTATTCCAGATACAGACAATTGCTGCCTCCGGTACAGTGCAGGCTCCTGCTAATGCATGAATGCACAGCTACTTATTTTATAATGTTCTTGGCCAGGCTTAGAAACCATGCACTACAGGAGTAAGTCACAATCTTCCATTGGAAGATTTCTTTACACATCCTGTTCCAGGTGTAGTGGGGCCATTGCTGTTTCCCTTTTAAAGAACTGTTTCCCTTTTAAGACTGCATGTTGTCAGAAAGGGTTTGATTGGCTCAGCTCTCAGCAGTACTGGAGTGTTTGTGGGAGTTGCAGTTTCATTACAGAGGCAGACAATGTAACTTTATACTGCACGGGACTACAGGACCAGGAAACTTTGCAAGGAGGAAGGGGGTGGAGGAGCCATGTGTGCCTTTGCAGAAGACATGTGGGAGCTAGTCTGCAGCCCCTACTGTTGAACTACACTGACACTGTTTCCAGAACAGCAGAGGTTGCTAAGGACAACGGTAATCTACAGTAGCTGAAGTCAGCAGCAACTGTGCTCATTGGTACCAGCCACCCGCGACGGCAGTTACCGACAGCAACGACATCTCCCACCGCAAAGAGAGAGGTCAGAGTGTTGGAAATCGCAAAGGAGGCGTGTGACCATCCCATGTCAGGCACCTCAGAGATTGTGCAGCACCGACAATTGACAACAACAAAAAACTAGCAGAGACAGAGCCCCATTCATCATCCCTTCAAGGAGTTAACCCCTGGAGACTGTTCTTCGTGGATGTGGTGAGCAATTTCAAACCAGTGACATGTCAGTCCCTAAGAGCGCTCCACCGATTCACAGGCCTGTGCAACACATAGACTTACACAGTGTTACAGTCCCACAGTATACAAGTGAATTTGGGACTGAGCCTAAAGAGATGTCAGTTTAGCTGGGGACATATTGCTGCT